TCCACCTTTTTAGACTCAAGGCACCCCTTATTGGACTGAAGGCAACCCTCTAAAACTTTTGTGATGCCCCATTTCAAAAACTAACTTATTTATTAAAGTGCTTAGTTCCTTGCAGAGGGCCATGCTGTGGCCTTAAACCTAGGGCCTCAGCATGCCTGGTGCAGCCATTCATCTTGGTCTGCTATCTCTTCAGCTGAGCATTAGGGTGGACATAGGTGGGTCAGAACTTGCTATCTGGTCCTAGCAACCCTCCCACTCCCTGCAACTGGAGTAGCCTTTACCCCTTCCTATAAAAGAACCCCTGACCTGGAAGGGAAAGTGTCCAGGTAGCAAGACTCAACCTTGTACTTGGGCTGCCTCACTGTTGGTTTGTGCCTCTACTGACTCTTTGATGGACTCCTTGGCTACCTGACCTGCTTGCCCACAGATCCTGAGTTTGGCCTGACTCTCTTTGGCTCCTTACCCTGACTAGTTTGATCTCCTGGATACCTGACCTAGCTGTCCTCCTGACTCCATTTTCTGCCCAACCCTCTAGATCTCTGACACAATTCCCCAAATGGAGCTTCTGGCTTCCTGGCTCCCCTACACTCAAACTCTGCACACTCCCCTTGGATCTGGGTTGCTTCTTCTGACCCTGGGTGACCCCCCATACCTCACTCCCCATGGCTTGGCATGACACAGAGGGGCTGGCATGGGAATGGTTAGGCAGAGACAAGCCTGAGCCTGTGCTTATCTGCCTATCTTCTCACACTTTCCAGCACCCCAGAGTACCCCAGCACCCTAATTAAAAATAAGTGGCCTTCAAATCACAGCGGGTGTCTTTACATGTGCTCTAGGGTGGTGGGGATAGACTTTAGAGTTGCTCCAAGAGCTGCTCTAATTAAAGCGCCTATAACATCATGTGTATTCAGCGTCCCATGCTTCAAAATGGCGGGGGGGGGGGGGGGCGTAAGTTCATTCAGCAAGCTTCAGTTAAAGCTCCCTCACCACCATTTTGAAGCATGGGGACACTAAATACACATGACATGGAGGCTGCTGGAGTGACTAATTGAGTCTGCACTGACACATTGTAATTAGCATGCATCAGAGCAGATGCAAGGCACATATATAGGTGCCCAGAATGCCTTTGTCCTGATATTAAAATGGTAATGGAAATGCTGCACTTTGGTGCCTGTCCTTAAATTAAACAATGATACTTATTCACATATCTAGTGGTTGCGATCAGAGGGTCAAATGGTGTGGGTTCTAATGGTGTTTTGCCATTGACTTGCAGCCTCGCTTTGAGCGAGTTGCTTTACTTAGCTTTTCAGGGTAAAAGGTTTGTTGCTTTGTAATCACTAGATGTAAATGTTACATAAGGGCTTTGTCCATTCATAAAGCAAATTATTAAACTGGTCCCTCAATTACATTTTCCATATGCAAATGCTGGCTAGATTCCAAAAGTGTATTTTCTTTCCATCAATCTGGCTGACAGCCATAGCTCACAATTGACCTTGTCAACTGGGAAATGTGAAACTCAGAAAAATAGTTACTTGAACTCTTTCTTCTGGGATTGTTCGCTCATCTAGTCTTAGTGAGTCATTTTAGAGCCAGTAGCGGGTTTACTTCCTTGAGACCTGCTGACAATATGGAATTGGGGGTATTTTAAGTAACCAAGTGACTTAAATGAATGGGAGTTTACAGCTGAGAGTATATGATTGATATTTAGCTGTAAGCTGAAAAATGTATTTGGATACTGGAGCTGATAGCTGAAATTTTGCTGATCTCTGTTGCTGTGTCTGCTTCATAACATCACCATTCTGAATTTGACATCAAATTGGCAATGTTGGAATTAAGACTTGAAGCATTTGGGGCGGGGGCAGGGGGGGGATTCTCTGAGCTCCTATGTGTCTTTTTCTCTGTTGCTATGTTGCAGTTTACCCACGGGCTCATTGCTGAACATTAGTACTGCTTAGTTCAATATCCAGCTAGTAGTAGACTCCATAATCCCTCTGGTGTGGGGAACAGAAGGACAACTTGAGATACATATGGGGGTGGGGGGAGAGGAACCTAGTTTAAAAGATCACTAGAGACTGCATAATTTGCAGACCAGAAGCTGTAGCCTGACAGCTGGGTGCCAAGAGATGGTCAGACAGAGCTCAACCTGGAAACTGGGACTCAAAGGCAAAGATTTGCTGCCCTCCCCCTGCTAGCAACCTTGTAAGGATACAAGGTGTCAATATGTAGCCAGGAGGTCAATGTGGAAGGGAAACAATGACACTGGTTTGTCATTATATTTTTCTATCTGACTGTTGTAGCAGTTGTCAGGAACCATTGGTGGGTCTTATTTGTAAACATTAAGTCAGTTGTGCCTATAGCTTTTTGCATCTTCTAGTTTTAGGCTGAGTAAAGCAGTCCTCTCTCTTCTTTCTTTCGCTCGCTCCTTTTTCTTTTGAATTTGTGAATGTTTATGGGAACCTACTAAGAGTGGTTGCTTGGAGTGCCCAAGGTCTTTTAAGCTTGTAATGTGCAGCATTATGTGCATAATTTAGCGCACTCAGCAACATCCTTACTCTTCTCTTCTCCAGACTAAATAATCCCAAAACTTGAATACAGGTTTTGTAATACTTTTGCTTCTGTAGTACCTGTCATACAAGACTGGCAACACTGACTACTTTTGCAATGTGCGCGGTGTTTATTGAGTCTCAAGTTATTGAGTAATTGTTAACCTTATTTGCTGAAATAATGATATAGCAAAAGAGTCTCAACTTTTTTTTTTTTTAATGAAAGTTTCTGGCGCTCCTGGATGTAAGAACCTCAGGAATGTGAAACTAGTATAACCTGAAGGCACAGAAACCAGGAGGAAACTAAAAGGAATCTAAAATGCACTATTTTTTAAAATCACATGACTTGGGGCTTGGCTCATGATTTTTAATACATCTTACTGATAAAAGCAATAAACTTCCCAACATCAAGAAACAAACCATCTGCTATTTTATATAATGCTCATGCATGAACTGCTCCGTTTTGCTAATGGATAGTAAATATCAAAATGGAGAGGCAAAAGTTCAGTGCATCTAGCCATATGCATGGGAGGAAGCTCTGAAGTCTGAATTATTTAGGAAAGAGGGTTATAGGCTAGTCTGTTACTGAGGGTGCTTACCACTTCAGAGAATCAAAAACAAAACAAAACAAAACAAAAAAAGGATTGGAAGGGACCCCAAAGGTCATCTAGTCTGACTCCCTGTTTAAGGCCTACCATCCCTGTCTGAACCATCCCAGACAAATGTTTGTCTAACTTGCACTTAAGTGCTCAGTGACTGAAATTCCATTGCCCCTCTAAGTAATCTGTTCCAGTGCTTACCAATCTTCATAATTAGTAAATCTTTTGTAATATCTAACCTAAATCTCCCTTGCTGCAATTTAAGCTCATTCTTGTTCTGTGAACATGAAGATGGCCATCAGCAGTTCTCTTTTACAGTAACCCTTTTTGTAGCTGAAGACTGTTATCATATCAACTCCCACTTCTCTTCTCCAGACTAAATAATTCCAATTCTTTCAATTTTCGCTTATATGTCATGTAGACCTCTAATTCTCTGGACTCAGGTTATGAAAATTAAGCATTCAAAAGTTAAGAAACACCAGAATTAAGGTTGCCCATGCATATATGTTTTAAAACAGTCTTTAATCACATGACTACATATTGGTCAATAGGATACATGCCTCAGTCAGCATGCAGGGTAGATGGTGCTCACTTACTGATCATGTGTTCAATATTTTGTTTTCTCTTCGTTGTTCAGTGTTTGGTCCTGTGCCTTATTTACTGCAGACTATGTTCTGAAAACAGAATTATTAATTTCTTCATGGTATTTGTACATCACTATAGTAACTGAGTGCTCCAGAAATATTAACACCTTTGTGAGAGAACCTCCATTTTAC